CTCCATTCTATTGGTGGGGAGTATCACCTGCTGAAAACCGGGTTCAGCGTCCCTTGTGCAGCAAAAAACATTGAATGAGTATTGTTATTGGCATCCTGTGGTGGTGGGGTGGATGTCTGCAGATCTTAGTCGCGACTCAGTCACTCCTTACTCTCATCGGGAATTGCACACTGTGGTTTGCGGCATATCGAATCTTCAAACAAGCGCGGGCTGAATGACATCATCAGCAGATTCAGCACGCTGATGATTGATCAGGAGGACAGGGGACCTACTACAAGCTTTCCCCCCCCCCCCAAAATTTGTACTTTTCCATGTTTGTGGAGGAGGGGGGAAAAGGAAATGTACCGAGAAAATTGAGAGACTACTAAATTAGGATTGTGGCAATCGGGGTCATCGTTTTAGGTTGCAGTTTATGTGAAAAACCTGTCATATCGGAAAGACAAAGCAAAGAGGAGGTTCAAGCTTGTGGACTCAATGTGGAGTGTTGGAGGGGAAACCCCTTAGGATGGATGACAGTGTGGCGGCCGTCGATACGTGGCGTCAGGGACGCCAATTTCTGATGTACCATGATTGTTCTTTTTTTTCCGCTGTTTTTTTTTTTTTTTTTTTTTTTTTTTTAAACCCCTTTTTTTTTTTTTTTTTAAACTTTGAAGTTTTAACCTTTTTTTTTTTTTTTTTTCCTAAGTTGATCTTTCTTCAATACGTTCAATTTGAATTTGGTTCGACAACTGTGTGATTATCTTCTACTACTACTCCTACTACTACTTCATGCCCAGGTGGGCACCCAGGCGTGTATCCGGGGACAAGTTGGGTGCCCCGACAAACAACCTAGGGTATTAAGTACTATTAACACAATTATTATATTATCTGTGGTTTGGTGATCTTCTCTCTGGTTGATTTCAATAAACGTTCATTAACTTGAATTAAGTTGATTTAACTTGATTACGAAAATTATTGTATCCGGGGTTTGAAATTTGAAGTAAAAAAAAGCAGTGAAAGCATCCTTCTCTCTTCTCCTTTTTTCACACCCGGCTATTGGAGTACCGGGCCATTTCTCGAAAACGCCTGCACCTCAGACAGACCCTCTTCAGCAAAGCAAACCTGTTTCAGCTTTTGACAGAAGCCATCCTCCTCCGAATCAGGTGTGGAGCCACGGAGCCTCCAACTGAGCCGCGCCACCAAGCCTCCGACAGCAGTCGTGCCGTTTGGTTGGTGAGCCACCAGCCAATGGGAAAAAGGAGGACAAGATTGAAGGCCGCAGCTCGGAGGTAAGGCCAACCAGAAAAAAAAAGTACTGTGTGTGTACGCTCATACTGTGTGCGTACACTCGCTAGAGTGAGTGTGCTGATACTGTACGAGTGTGTACGCTTATGACAGCATCGGTGTGCCTACGATTGTGTGGGAATGTTTGCAACTTTGCGCTATCTTTTGACTTGCAATTCGCTACGGAGCTATGGTCAAGGAGAAAAAAAGGTGAAAACAAAAAGGTGAAAGAAGTTACAAAGGTATATATAAAAAAATATCTAACATGAATACAAAATATTCGTGAGGTGCCGCCGCTGCCGCGTTATAAAATATATATATCGTCACAAATAGAACTGCCGACGGTAAACCGTAGGCAGAGAGGGAGAAGAGGACAACAAACGAGGGGCTGTGACAAACTGTTTCGTCGGAGTTTCACCGACTCATCAGGAGGCTGTATATATATATAGGCGGCCATGCTGTGCCTCTAGTGCCAGCGGCGTGTCTGGAGTGTATTTTTTGGCTGTGACAGACCTTTCTTTGTTTCGTGGGTGTTTTGCTTGCTTGTTGCTTGTGATGGGGTGTGAACCGACAGT